GGAGCCGCGTCCCAGGGGACCGCAGAGGAGCCCTCGCTTCCCGGGACCCGCTCCCAAAGGAGCCCCCCCGGGACCCGCTTCCCAAGGGGGACTCGCACCCCAAAGGTGCCCCCGCTGTCCTCGTACCTGCACCCCAAACCAGCCCCCGCTTCCCAAAGGGGGACCTGCTCCCCGAACAGACCCCGCTTCCCAAACCAGCTCCCGGTTCCCAAGGGAGCCCCCGCGCCCTCGGGAGCCGCCCCCAAAGGACCTCCCGGGAGCCGCTCCCCGCACCCCGAACCAGCCCCTGCTCCCCCAAGGAGCTCCCACTCGCCCCCCCCGGGACCCGCTTCCCAAAGGGGGACCCGCTCCCCAAGGAGCCCTCGCTCCCAAAACCAGCCGCACCCCCGGGACCCGCTTCCCAAAGCAGCCCCCGCTCCCCCGGGACCTGCACCCCAAACCAACCCCCGCTCCCCTAAGGAGCTCCCTCTCCCCAAACCATCCCTTGATCAGCCCCCTCTCCCCTGGGACCCTCTCCCCGGACCAGCCTCCGGGGTGGGTGTGTTCCCTGGGTCACCTGGCGGGGCTGCAGTTGGAACCCCACGCTGCTGCTGCTGCTGCTCAAAGGACGATTTGCAATGTCAGGGTGGCAGGGCAGCGTTTCTTCCCATCACAGATTTCATCTGCAAGCTGCAATTTTTTAACTATATATATATATATTTAATTTTATTTTTGTTTTCTTTTCCATTTGCAGGCGAGCAAACACCAAAGGAAAAAGGCTTCTCGTCCTCCGCTTCTGCTCTCAGTTGGGGTTTGATTTGCATCATCTCCGAGCCCATTAGGAAAATAAATAAATAAATAAATTAAAAAAAAAAAGAGAGAGAGAGAGAAAAGGCAAACCAAACCCACACAAAACATGTTGTGCGGAAGGACTTCCACTCCCTGGCTGTGCTGTTAAGGATCAGGAAGAGCCTTTGGGGGCTGCAGGATCTCACTGAGGCTGATGCTGCTGCTCAAGGATTTGGTGCAGGGAGACAAAACTGCTGCCTCTTCCATCCGCTGATCTCAACATCTGCATTTTCCTGCTGCTGTGCTCCCTCTCACACCCTCTCTCCATGGACTGATTTTTTTGATTTTTTTTTTCCCCCCCTTTTTTTTTTTTGGGTGGGGAGGGGGGAAGGACGAGCAGAAGAAAATCGAGGCATCGCGTGGAGAGGAGTGAAATTGCCCTTTATATCTCGCGTTCTGGGGGGGATCTCTTTTGGAGGTGAAGCTTTTTTTTTGGAAAAGAAAACATGACGTCGCCAGCAAAATTCAAAAAGGATAAGGAGATCATAGCCGAGTACGACACTCAAGTTAAAGGTAAGGAACGGTTTTATTTCCATCCCCTTTGGCCGCTGCAATCCTGACTCGCGGTTGTAGGAGTTTGCAGTGGATGTTTGGGTGGGGAAGGGGGAAATCATTTGCAGATTGCCTGGAATTTGCAGGGCTTTTTCGTAATACAATGCTGGATCGGGTTTGCAGCGCTGTTCCTCGTCCCCATGGGGTAGTTCCCGCTTTGGTGTTGCCGTTTTAAGGTGTCACAGCGAGGGCTTTTTTTTTTTTTTACGGAATACACACATTTTTGAGTTGGGAGAGATCCGTATTTTCCTGCCTGCCCGTTCTGAAATACGGCTTTGCATGTGAAATACGAGAGCCGGGGAATTGCTTTTTAATCCTCTGCCTGTCATGGGAATCTTTCAACAATCTGTGTAGTGTCAGAAGAGCATATTTGCACTGGTGGTAATGGGGACTGTGCTGAGGGTCCCCGTGAAGCTGCTTGTGCTAGAAACTTCCATTTTTCAGGATTTTGCTCCTGCTGAGTCCATAATATTGCTGCCTGGTTTTCCTTACTGTGCTCATGAGTGTAACACCTTAAGGCTGCAGTGTGTGGGTGTGGGTGTACACACACATCTATAAATGAATAAAAACCGATGCATCAGTGTTATCCCCATCATCCTAAGGAATAATAAACAGAGGTGGATTTGCAGTGACCGTGCAAGTCTTCTGCAGAATTCAGCTGGCTGGGTTTCAGGCCATCATGTGCCTAAGGTTAAAAAAAAAAAAAAGCCCATAACATAAAGGATGGTGAAATGCCTCCTGAGCTGCTTAATTTCGCCAAGTTTTCGAGATAATATGTATTTAAAAAATTAATTATGGCTTGTGCACGGCTTGATGTATTGCTGTTAGGAAGTTATGAGATTCAGTGATTTATCTAATTGGCTAAAACTTGCTTGGTATGCTCAGAGCTTGCAGGAAAAGATGGCCTTCGGGCAGGGCTGATTGAGTTAAATCAATGCAATTTGGCAAAAAAAAAGAAGATTTGAATCTGAGTAGGAAACCTAAATTAAAGCTGACAATTAAAATATTGTTTTGCAATTAGGTGCTGGGTTATTTTTCCTGCTGGGGGGGCTGCAAATCATTAAAACATGTTGTCCTCCAAGGCATGTCCTACACTGACCCCAGTGCCCTGTACCTAGAAGCTGTTTGGACATTTCTGTTGAAAATGCTTATCTGAGCAAATATAAAGCTGTGTAAGAGTTTATTTTGATTATTTTTTTTTTTTTTTTAATTCTTATGTTCTCCAAGTTAGAAATGGAGAAGGGCGTGTTTCTTTTTTACTGGTTTAGTTTCTATTCCTGTTTTCTAGCTGTCTTTGGAAATGGGAATTGAAGGCAGTGTGAAATTAGAGGCTTGTGTGTTCTTTCATTATTTACCCCATCAAAGTGTGCGTGATGGATCCAAGCCTGTAGTCAAAATATTTGGGAATAACGAGAAACGAGGCTTTAGAATTAGCGAAGCGCATCTTCTCACCTCTCAGTGCTTTCATGAATTGGAAATTTTCCCTTCCTTTTCAAACAAGAGGCCAGGAAAACGGGGAAAATGGGAATGAACCTTCCCCCTGTGCAGAGTGTTGCTGCCAGAACTCAGCTCATCTGTGGAGGTGCCAACGCAGGGACCTGTAAATGTGATCCCAAAAGTGATCCCATGGAGTGGTGGCACATGGATTTTTTTGCTTTTTTGCCTTATAAAACGTCCCTCTTTTGAATACCTGAGGTTAAGAAGGCTGGAAGTGTGTAAATGGATCAGGAGGAGCCGGGAGAAGGGGGTTTCCTTCCTGAATTGGTGTTGAGGGCAGCGAGGAGTTTGTCTGGGGATGTTCATCCCTCTCACAGTTCAGTTTTCCCCGCACAGGGGATTCCAGGAGGTGCTAATCCATCTCCTGCTCTTCCTTGAGAGGGAGGTATGGATGGACCAAACAGCTCAAAAACACACGTGACAATCCCATAACAACCATCTCCTGCATCCCCTCATTTCTTTGGGAGCACGGAGGGAGCTTCCCTTCTCCACCTGGAATGAACCTCTCAGCTTTGGCCACAGGCATCGTTGTCTCTCTTTTAGGTGCCAACTTTGAGGGCAGACTTTGCAGTCATCTACCCCTTTTAAAATGCCATTAAACTCGCTTGACATCTCACAGGAATCTTGGTTCTGAGCTGGACAGTGACGTGATTCCTTAGGGAAACTCCTGGGAGCAGTGAGACTCCTCACCTCTAATTCCAGGGATGTGCTGGTTTCTCCACCCCAGCAGGAGGATGAGATGGTGCTAAAGACACACTTAAATCCACAAATGTGGTGCTGCCTCATCATCAAACATCACACAGAGGAATTTTGGTGTCCTGATCAAATTCTGACCTTAACTGGGGGAACGGCGTGGAAATGGTGTTAACTCTGATTAAGGTTGTTTGATGTCTTTTCTCTTGTGTTGTGAAATGAAGCAGTAGCTGTGGGGGTGAGATGAATGAATTGTAAGGTATCATCTGCTTCTCAGATGAGAAAACTCTGGTATTTTTTACTGGTTTTTAGAAACTTGTGGCATTTTTTTTTTTGCTCTGCTCCATCCTGGCTCTGTGCTGGAAATCTTGTTGAGAGGCTTCATTTAAAACCATTAATCCACAAACACCTACTTAAGCACTGTAAATGATTGCTAATGGAATGATGGGGCTTTGTTTAAAAAATTTAATAGTCTTTAAGTTGCTAATCAAAAACTGTTTAAAGACTAGTTTGGTTAATAGATCATTGTTATGCGAAATTTTTGATTTGCTGTTGCTGAATGAACTTGGTGGGTTTTTTTTGTAAGAGGTGTACGGGGGTGACAGGGCAAAGGGTCATGGAATGGTTTGGGTTGGAAGGACCTTAAAGACCATCCAGTTCCACCCCTTGCCATGGGCAGGGAAGTCTTTCACCAGCCCAGATTGCTCCAAACCCTGTCCAACCTGGCCTTGGACACTTCCAGGGATGGGGCAGCCATGGCTTCCCTGGAAAATGTGTTCCAGGATATTGAAGCCAATACTGGAACCAGGCTGGATACTTGGTCTGACCTTATTACTGAGCACCAGAGTATGGGCTGGGTGACCTCCTGAGCTCCCTCCCAAGCTGGATTATCCAATGATCCCGTGGTCTCCAGCACCTGGAGGTTGAGCTACAAACCTGGTCTTCTGCAGAAGGGAATTAACCCCCAGAGATGCCCAGACAGGGTGATTTTCCTCAACGCCCGCATTGACCTCGAGTCTTTGGCCGTCAGATGATGCCGAGAGCCCACGCTGTGTTTGGGTTTGTGGCTGTCCCCTCTGCACTTGGAGAGGTCCCCACTGTCAGAGGGTTCTTCTGGTGAGATTTGGAGAAGCCTCTCTCTTGGAGGAAGCTCTGAAATGCCTGCGTGTCATGCGGGAGGAATTCTCCTGACAAGATGACACGGGGTCAGCAGGGGAGGGAAGCGCTGCTTTGATACGTCTCTGTACCATGTGCTCACAAAGATTGGGGAGTTCTGTGAAGCTGGAAAGTGAGATTCTGTGGGCTCCATATGGAGCCTTTGATATCTCAAGCTCATCCCCTTCTCTGGATTGTCTCTCCCAATTCCTTTGTGCAAGTTGTGGTAAAGCAGAGATAATTAATTTATGCTGTGCAGTGAGATTTGGATGCTGCCTATCTGTGCCCGACCAAGGACTGTCAGAGTGTTTTTTGGTTTAATATATTAAATTGGAGTGTACACTTGCTGAGGAAAGAAAAGCCAGTGATTTATCTCTTAATTCTCCTTTTCTTTCTCCTCGTGTCCCACGAGAGCCTTATATTTAATTAGTTTGTAGAAAGCTTCAGTAAATAGCTCCATGGTTGGAGCGGCAGAAATTTAATACTGACATTTTTTTACACAGCCAGGGTTCATAAACCACTGCTGTCCTTGAGTAGTCTCTAGCAAAGGTTAAAATGCATCTCTTGCAGATCTTGCAGCACTGCCCAAAAAGTGCTAAAAATATGACAAATGGATGAGGTAATTTGCAGCAGGAGCGAGCACAGCCCAGAGGTGGCTGTGTGGTTATTGAGCTGTGCCTCAGCTGAGAGAAGAATCCTGATTAAGAACAACTTGCTGCCATCACACTCAGGCTGCTATAATGCCTGAAACTTTTAAATCTCCCCAAAATGGCTGATAAATTTTGGATGAGTCCCTCTTACCTCTCTGGGTTGAAAGTCTGATGGTGTGTTTGACCTGATTGTGATTTTTTTTTTTGCCTTAAATGCTGCGTAGAAATCTCATTTGTATGGTCCATCTCCTCGAGTGATGGTCGGCAGTTTTTAATCCTGGTGAGCCCTTTGGAGTGGTCCAGCCCTTGAGTGTGTGAAGGATTGCAAAAGTAGCTGTGACAGGGTCAGCAGCTGTAATTTGGGGGCTGGGAGGGAAGTGTGATGCTTTTGGTGGCGATTTGAAACAAAAATTGGTGTTTCTTTCAACATTTGCAAGTTTTCTTGTGAACACTGCCCTTGTCTGGAAGGAAAATATTTATAGAACCATCTTTAGATTTTTAGATCAATGAGTTGAAATCGCTGCCATTTGTTTTACTGCTGAACCTGTGCACCTGGGGGTTGTCAGTGCTGTGGGTTTTACATATAAATGTTGATTTCTCTCCTGTGTTCATCCCCTGTTCAGGTCACCAGGTTGGTCTCTGCACACCGTGACTCCAACCCTTGCACCACACGTGTGGGGATCCCCAGAGTTGGGGCTGAGCTTTGTCAGCCCCTGTTTAATACACCCTGTAAATGGACTTTTCAGCCACTCACCCCGGTGTGGTTGAGCGAAACAGTCCTGAACTTTTGATATTTTGACTTTGCATGTGTTGGATTAACGTTCACGTTTAAAATGAAAAACTACCTTTTAAGGGGTTTTTTGCAGTTAATCACAGCTCTGTGCGTGTAAGTGATTCCATTTGTTTGCAACAATGACTTGCTCCAAGCTCTGGCTGTGGAACTGCTGGGGAATCATCTGGTTTTCT